AATATTTGTCGATGGAGTTATTAAAAAAGTGATGAATTTTTTTTATTGGTATACGATTAACTTATATAATAGAAATTATTATCATAACTATTAACATTATTAACATAATTCAACTTATTTTAATTTTAAATAGATAAACGACAATATTTTACTGATCGCATTGAACTCCGATATTTATGATTTCAAATGATTGTAAAAAAAGTTAAAAATTTATATTTTTTAAAGACGTCTTACTTTTAAAGTTTGAAATTTAAATATTGAAAAACGGAGATCAATATGTGGCCTGTAGGATTATATTATTTCCTTAAATTAATTTACAAAAATGTTTATTAAATTTTAGAAAATATACTTATACTTTATTCTAAAACTTTAGAAAAACTTTTGATTTTTTTTAAATAACTAATTAAGTTTCTTAATATTTGCGAGTGAAATACTACTAATTAAGTTAAAAATTACCGACGAAAATAACTTCTAACTTTTTTACTAGTTTAGTACCCAGCATTGTTATTTATAATATTATAGTTTAGGTACAGAAATAATATTTGTCTACTTATATAATATTTTAGTGAATACTATAACATTAAGCGAAACAAATGCAAATAAGATAAACATAGCCATAGCGGGTAATACGAATAATGCACAATAATTTAAATTTAATATTCTTTACATTTATAATTAAGAAGAAGAAACCAAGCGATGGTTTTCTAATTTTACAATCTCGAGAACATGTGTTGAATATAATATTACGCGGTATTATTATATTAGTATCGGAAGGTTTAGCTTTTGAGGAGTATTTGTGGTAAACACAATATCCTTTCGGATGGTAAGTAATTGTGCAGTTTCCTGACAAAGTTTATATATTTTGTGTATTATATATATGTATAAGTAATGTAGAAAAAACGAGCAGGTCGTTAAGTAAAACTTTATTTTTATTGACGTGGTATAATATATACATTGAGACTAATAGGTTTTGTTAACTCCACACAAATATAAATTAAACATTGTAATCAAATAAACATATTTGTTCGTTTTTCATTTTTTTTGGGGGGGGGTTTCTAAATTATCATGAAAACCACTAGGAAAATCAAAAAAATGATCTCCCCAATGCACTAAATAGATCTAAAACGAAACTGAATTACATTTTAAAAAACAAAATTTAAAATAATAAAAGAATTATTTTCGTACATTTTTCCGTTCTTTCTAGGTATTTTGCTCAATTATTAAAACAAGCACTAAGAAAATCAAAAAACGAGTTTCTTAATCATTAACTAGATTAAAAACTTAATAAAATAGATCACTTATAATTTATCTATTGGGGCAATATTTATGGTAGAAAACATAAGTTGTACAAATTTAAAATAATGAAATCGTTATGCCGTAATTTGAAAAAAAAATCCTATATTTCCAAATTATTATCAAAAATACTTTAGATATTACAAAAATGACTTTCTTTGACAGTGGTGAAATATTATGAGAAACGAAATTGATCTCTTGTTATTTTTGGATTGGAGCAATATTTCTGGTAGAAAACATCGTATTATCATAATAAAAACAATGAACGTCGCAGTACGCCGTAAATATTCGCCGTTTCACATATACCTTTGTTTCGGGTTCTTCCCAATTATTTTGAAAACTCCTTGAAAAATCGAAAAATGACCTCCTCAATGCTGCACGAGAGAAAATTACCTTTCAGAAAAGATGCTATAGACTATACTTCGGAGTAAGTTGTTCACAGATAATATAAAATGTATTCAATTTATATCTATAGCAGCATTAAACTATATTGCTAACGAAAAACGATTCTGAGTAAAGTTCAGTTATACATATTTTGAAATGCCGTAATTTTTACGATTTTTGTCTAAATTTAATATTTAAATTCTAAAAATAATCCTACATTATATGCATGATATTATACATAAATGAGTAATTATATTTAAATACCTTTAAAGTAATTTAAATAAGTATTTTGATAATGTATCAGAAGTTAGGTTGTCTAAAAGTATTATAGTACCTAAGTAGTCAATATAAATATATATTTTTATTGATTGGATTTCATATTGTATAAAATATAACGTAGTATTAAGTACCTATCAAATTGATATAATGCATAATATTTTAAAGTGTGTCTGGAGGTAAATTGGTAAACATTATGACACTAAAAAATAATATCTTTTTGGTGATTTTGATTAAAAATATATTTAATGGTTAATTAATATTTATTTAATTGTTAATATTTACTTATTTAACGATTGAAAAAAAAAATTATTTAATAAAACAGTTTTCTTTAATTTATATTATTCGCTTTAGTTTTTAGTGCACATACTTTAGATATTTGTATTTGTAATTTTATACTTAATAAGTACTGTTATTTAATCTATTGGTATATGAAAATTATTTGGTTGGTACATTATTACAAAATGAATATTAGAACAGATAAAACCAAAAAAAAAAAAATAATAATAATAAAAAATCGGTATGTAAATTAATTATCAATGCACTTTACATTAAATGTAATGTATATAAAACGAAGCAATTGTTGTTGAATATTACAAAACATATTGTATAATACATTCTATATAGTGTATATACTCATGTAACATCTTGTTTAGGTGGGTGCGGGGTACTTATTCATTTTGTAATACAAGTACGTTCAAAATAATTTACTCCGACTGTAATAATAATAATAATATTTCGCTTTAAAAAATATTTTACAATAGGTCATGACAATTAGGTTATAATTAATTTTTATAATATTACTATGTTCATACACCTACGCGTATTACTTTACTAACGGTTTCTACCTGATGCAAATTATAAAAACTTATTTACTACACCTCGGAAATAATATTTGGAAAATTGAATTTTTTTTTTATTTTCCTTAAACCGCAAGATTTTTTTTCGCGAACCAGTGTAATTTCGTGTACTAAGCGCTATATTTATGTTTTTTTATTTCGTATAATATACTACTCTATTAATATTAGAGTGTGTACAATAATCAAGATTATAGAATCCGGGACAAGATAACGAGAAGGCGGTGATTTAAAAAAACGCATAGAAGGCACGCACTTATGACGAATATCGAGTATATTGGGGCTAAGAATGTATTTGGAAGCAAACGAGGGAAGGCGCGATCGCCCCAACACCCCCCCCCCTGGATCCGCCACTGAGAATAATGTTTAAATGAAAATGATTATAACTCTTGTGTTTATTCACCGGTAGGTACCCATACACACTAATACATTTAACTGAGATATTCACGGATTATATACTTTTATATTACTAAAACGAATTTGGACCGTGAAAAAGATCAGTCAGTGTACCGAATTATAATTATACGTACGGTATACTTACCTCTTCATTATCATTTATTACCAATTTATATTAAGTCAATTATTAATTATGCCTACGACTTACCTATATAGATTATCTGTTTGCGTAGTTTTGTAATTATCTAGTTGCTAAGCCTTTGTGTGCCGTTCGTATAATTTTTGAGATGAATATTATACAATCTTGAAATGTTTCTCGTACAGCGCAAAGAAAAAAAAAAACAACCATTTATTGTTGATAAACATATACGTATAATGACATTCGGGAATTTAATTTATTTAATGGACATTTAGGATAAATCCGTTAATTTATATCTCAACATATTCCGCAACTCTGAGCACAGAAACCTAAACAGCGAACAAAATATTATATCAGTTTTCTGAATTGTACGACAAATCAAATTCGTATTTATATTTCTTACCAACTACAATTACTATGAGAACCGTGAAAATACCCGCGGGTCACGGGGAAAGACGACGAGGAGGAACGTCTGTATAAATATAAGTTAGTCGATAAAATATTGAAACATGATTTACCTACACAGTGAAAAGCACGCCATTTTTGTATTATATTATAAACAAGAAAACTGAGAAAACCGTATTTCATCTACTATACACTTCTCCGCTCGCGAAAAAGTATATCGATTTCTGTTTTATTGGTCTTTGTTTTCTACGTACAGAATTATTTTTATTTTTTTTGGACGTATTTGTGTTTTGCCGTCTGCACGCGTCGTTGAAATGTTTCTATTTGCAGTTGGAGCGTGGTCGTATCAAAATCGAAAATATTACAATGTTTAGTAAAATATACGTACCTAATTACGCAGTTACCCGAGTTGAAAATATATTATACGAACAACAATTTAAAATACTATATACGAACAATTTCGGTGGGATTACAATTTACAATAATTTGGCAGCTAACGATGATAATGATGAAAATCAACTATATATTATAGTACGAAACGACCAATTATAATATTGTTTGTTTGCGAATATATTGTGCGTTTTATATCAAACGTTTTATTTATAGGGTTTTCTCAAGCATTGGTATTGAAGGACTTTTAGTATATTTTTTTTTTGGAAAAATTCAGTTTAGACGGGACTCACACTTGAATTACGTCCTTATAATGCAATTGAATTTTTCTCTTTGTCGATTTCCACGTTGCCTCGGTACTACTATTACTAATAATAATAATAAAAAAAAAACATCGCTTTACTTTTATTTGTACATTTGTATATTATACTTTATCGACAAGCAATCCAGCAACGGGATTTGAAAAAAAATTATCCTTTATTGTTTCGATATGATTTTTATACGAGTATTATAGAAATAAACGAAACAACAATAATTTTGTTTGGGTAAAAGACATTAGACAGGTGTTGTTATAGTGTTGAACCTTATGAATTATAACATTTTTTTTTTTTCAATCAAATTCGATACGATTTCGTTTGAAAATAATATTATTACGAAAGTAGACGTAAATAATTGGCATATTATCAAATCAAATTCTAGTTATTGTAAAATTATTTTAATAACTAACATGAGAATATAATATAATGCGTAGGTAAAATTAAATATTATTCTTTTGTGTACCTGGCTCTTAATAATCTTCTACTGCTCTCTCTTTCTCTTCGCCGTCTTTACAATCTCCCTCCAATTTTATCGATTTTGGACTATCCCTCTCCATTATCGCACTTTGCATTTATCGAGGTCCACTTTAACGACATCCTGCAGTAATCTTTTTCTGGGCCGACCACTGTAAGGTCTTCTTCCCATTGACTCTGCGTTCAATCTTAATATTATTGACAATGAGCGGGGTAGGTCATCGTATCCACGCGAGGGATATTTCGCCGCTGCGTGGACGATTATTAAAAAACACGTTCAGGCTATTGACAATACAAATAAGTGTGCGAAAAATAATTCCGAATGATAATTACAAAATTATTTAGCGCATTGAACATAACAACATATTTAATAGTATTGACATTATATAACATTATAGAAAAGTATATAAAACCAGAAAAAACAAAATTAAACATTTTTAACAGTAACAAATAATACCTACGTGGAGTATTTAGTTGGATAGTGGTGCCCAAAAGCGTCAATCGCGAGATTAATTTGATTTTTATTTTTGTTTTCTATTCAACATTTTGTATACAATGCTTCCCGCGGGGTAGTGATCGGTCGGCGTCATATGAAAGTACACCGAAAATGATGGATAAACCTCCTTTAAAGGGGGTTTAATATTTGTATTTTATAAGCTATGAGGGCAATTTAAGTTTTTTTTTTTAACGAACCTTACTTACTACGCATTTTTCTTGTGTGTGTGTGTGTATCTACAAAATTTTTCAACTCATGAACGTAATTTATATTTTATTTTAAAACTATTCTATTGCGCTACCAACCAACATACACAATTAAATCAGAAACGTACAAATTGTTTTTATTAAATTGATAAAAGTAACGGTGATATACGATTGCGTACGTTTGTCCATTTTGGTATCTCGATTGCGTACGAGTTCTATACCTGACCCTTAAAAATATTACGATTGAGTACAAAAATGTTTGCAACGTTGCCAACATGCATTACTCAGTTTATTTACTACACAATTAATAACATACGAATACCTAGTGGCTAATATGGTGACCCGGTTCCACACTATCCCGTGAATTATTTATCCGTTATTATTTACATTATATAGTTCCTAACTATCTGTATTTACCGTGATTGTACCAATATTTCATACGCTATATTTTGTCTAGTCATTGTCAACCGTCGTTTGTACGTATATTTGAATTGTATTTCCCTACTCGTGTCCTTCTTAAAATGTACAACATATTATTAACTCGCCCTTATCGGTCGCCTCGAAAACATATACAGTTATACAGAATTGTTAATTTATTTTTGCAAAAAATCCTTCTGATACCGTTACAGGGAAATAGTGTCGTTGACACGGGCCAATCGGCCACCGACTACTAAACTAGTAAAGATAATACAATAGTTTATAGTGAATGAAAAACAATGTGTCATTCATAATGTAGTATTTATTATAATTTAGTTAGTACAATTTCATTTATAATATTTAATTTTGAATTAAAATTATTGAAATATTTTAAAGTAATTAATTTAATTCATTAAAGTCAATTATACATGTAAGTTATAAATCAAAACCTTGGTCCCTGATAACCAGTCTCTGATAAAAAATGTAATATATTACCATTTAATTTAAATTGGTCGTATAGTTTTATAGTATGATTAATTTTTTATATATCTTTAGTTGGAATAACTTTGAATATATTTTTTTATATAGTGGATATTTTTACTTTGGTTTCTACCAGCATTTCTTTCAGTGACTCAATGACAAAGTATAAGTACAATATTAAGATGTGGATGTGCGTAGGTGGATGTGCGCTATATAATTGAATGTTAAAAGTTCTGTGGAAACTTTCTGGATCATTTATTGTTCTGACATTAAAATAAGTAAAAATTACAAAATTAATAATAATCTAATTATTTTATGACGCTTTTTTTTTATGTATCAGAACATAAACTTTAAAGTTATTGTACAAGAATACTTCGAAATGTATACATTTATTAAAGTAAGTTACCTTTTATTTATTAAAGGTTCTTCAGCCCGTAAATTGGTTGGAAATATTAAATTTGGTTGCATATAATTATTTAATTTATGGTCTGAAAATTCTAGCCAATCTTCATCCGGACAATAACCTACTAGTTTAACAAAACCGTTTTTGACTATTTTATAGGGTAGAATTGGTAGACCAAAGAACATTTTTAACCATTTTCCTAATATAATAGTATGATATACTCTTATCATCCGAATATCCTGTCCTCAATTATTTATTTGCATTTATCTATATAAAAATTGTTACATGTAACTATGCAAGTATTTTATTTAACCTATGTGAGTTAGTTATTTATTAAATACTTATATAACGCCACCAAAATTGACTTAAATGAAAAAGACATCCAATTAGTTGTACATTCGGGAAAACTTCCTTCACAGCTTCATGTGCTCCTATTTCGAAGTCGATGTGTAGTTTGCGTAGATTAAGTGTTTGAGATGTATATTGTAAATATAATTCTTTTATAAATTTCCACATTTCAATATGTGTTTGCTTAAATTTATCTTTAAAAAAAAAAATAAAAATAACTGGTTAATAAAAGCCATTTTTAAAACAATGAACAGTGTAAATTTTCATAAAAAACTTAGGTGCGAACTGAAATGTGCCATCAGAAAAATATTCTGTGCAAGAACTCATAATATTTAAATTGTTTTCAGTTTTGTTACAGATAACCGATTTATTTAACGGAATCAAGGATACATTTTTTGTAATTAAATTTAAAAATATCATCGTTTTGCATTTCTCAAATCTTATTTATGGCTTCATCAAAAGACTTTGGATGTTCAGGAAAGTTTTTCCACCACACCATATACATGGCTTTTCGGACAAAATAATTATCCTTATGTGCAATATCTGTACTTGAATTTATCAGTAATGTTTTTCTTATAATTTTGCTTGATCTAGTTGAAATTGATTCGTTAGCTTTTCGTTTGCAATTTTCTCTAAGAACTTGACGATCAATATTTTGAGGTGTTACTGCTTCATGATTGTGCTCACCAATTACCGCAATCACTTAACATTTGTTGACATCAGTTAAAATGCTGGTACAAAAACTTTTATTATAACAAATCATTTTAACAATACACGTCTTTGCGTTTTCTTATAAAACGATATTTATGTGATGAAACCACAGCTTACTCTTTCCAAAATTATGATATTATAATTTGTAAAGAATTCTTCATAGTTGCCGAACTATTACTCATTGAATTATCGAATGATAAGTTGGTCGTGTACTAATATAACAATGCTAAAGTGCGACACACCAGAAAATCCAATACAATAATCGGCATTTAATCTTATAACATTTTATAGATTATCGAAAAGTATTGGACTGAGAATAATAGTCAAAAATGATTTTCTAAAATAGGTCATATTACAAATTTTCAATGGTAACGTTGTACTAAGTTTAGGTAAGTAGAATGTACGAAATCAAAAATTTGTTTTTTAAGAAAATAAATAATGTTTAACTCCAAATAAGTTCTTTTTTACTACATTTTTAAAATTGTATTTTAATGTTTTACTGAAAAATACCTACAGTAATACAATACCTTAAATGTTTTGTTTTCGTATCTTCCGTCATTGCAGAATTATACACTGTTGAACGTCATTTGTGATTGCAAAAGACTTGATCGAACCGATGCCGGACTGGCCAGTGGATCGTTTATACTCTAAAAAAATGGGTGTAGCCGACGAAATTTCGGCTACCGGCCACTGTTTAAACGGCATCGATGCCTGTTGACATATGTGAAGGCTCTCTCTCATTTAATATTAGTACCGGAAACCATTAAAATGGCACCCAGGATTGTTACGTTTTAAACATCAATAAAAACGTGCGTTTAAAACAATATTTTTATTCTACTTAACGGGGCACTTTTTAACGATTTTTAATGAGCAAGGATGCTTATGGTTTCACAAAGATGTTTATTTTATTATTGTTTTTTTTTTTTCTAGAGATCGTCCATTATTTTTGTCGCATACATAATTATATCAGCATTTTTCTTGCAAACAATAAACAGTGTTTTTGGAAAAACGCCGGGGTTAAAGTTAACTACCTCCCCTCTTTCCACCAAAAAAACCCCACCACAGATACGGCTTCGGTCTTAAGCGCCTGCCCGCTCGCTGCGTGTGGCAACGCAGCGAGCGGGCCGGCAATTTTCACGAGAGCGTGTTCGATCCATAAAAGATACCAAGAGGCATCTCGGCGCGCCGTAGACTCCCTGGCGGTTTGTTCTCGCGTCGCATAAATTTCGAATAAATCTTTGTCCGGGCCGCCGCGCAGTCCGTCCGCCCGTTCCTCGTTGTCGACGTCCCGTGCGTTCCGTCCGTCCGTCGGGACGATCGCTGCGTCACAGATCCGTCTCCGCCGCCGCGGCCGGCTCTAAACGGCGAACGCGCGTCCGCCTATCCGCCCGCCGTCATAACTTCAAATTCTCCGCACTTCTCGTCCGCCGCTTTATCGTACGTTCAAAATCCGACATCGGTCCATCACTACTCTCTCCCCCCGAAGCGGTTACTCTTTCGACGATGTAGGTACTTTTCTCGGCCGAGGATTTATTTTTTCCTTTTCTTTTTTACATTCCGTCCGTTGAGTTTGCATTTATTTGCTGTATTATGCACGTAGGTACCCATAATGTATGTGCGCCTACGTTGAGGTTTATTTTTTATTATTTTTTTTTTTTTCAAGCACGCTCGCCCCATTATCACGTTTAAATAATGGATTTATTCGAATTTGGGTTTTTGAAAAAAGCACGGACTATACCTATACATATACGAGTATAATAATATGTATCCCGCGGCGGTAAAAACTTTTGTATTTCAAACGAAAACGCCGCTTTTACACAAACAAAAATTGTTTGCTAATTTGTCCGGAATGTTTGAGGTACCGAAGTCAAAGTTTGAATTGATAGTTTATGATGACGTCCCTCATTCATTTATTCACGACATTCGTTGTTATTATTTTTCATAAAAGTTTATACTGCCACAGGATACACTGTATAATGTCTGAAATATATATATATATAAAAAAAAAGAAAATATGAGAACTTCAAAACAATATCGTCTCCGTGTACCCGCCGACGAGAAACAGAATTTAAATAAATCCGTTATTTAATCGTAAAACGGGGTTGGCGTGATAATAATAATAATAATAATAAAAAACACCCTGTAGGTATATATTTAATATTTATATACGTATTCTACAATATGGGCTTTATGGCGACACGTCGACTGGGGTGGTGGTAACAGCTTTGCGGGGGCGGTTTCGTCCTTTCCGTTTTCGTCCGTTTATTAGCAGCTTTACCCTTGTTCTCTGGGTAAACGCGGCAAACAAGGCAACAGGCGAAACGAAAACGACAAAATCACAATCTTAACGCACGCGAGGGTAGTATTAACCCGAGTGATTTTTTTATTTTTTATTTTTTTCAAGTTTATTTCGTTATTACGATTCCTTTAGAAAAAGTAGTAGGTATAAAAAGGAAATAAACAAATAATGAAAAAAACAAAAAAAAAAAACGAATGGCTTCTTCTGCACTACATTCAAAATCTAAAATAAAATACTTTTTGTTAACTTGAAAATATTCTGTTTGAAACGGGTATAAATATTACCAAATTGTGATATTTGTGATCGACGCTGTATTTTATCTAGATGGGTATATTTTTATATCTTACCGTGTAGTACCACAATGTAAACGAGAAATTAGTTATCTGTGATAAATATTTATAAGTAGTTTTTCGATAGTAATGAAAAATATATTTTTTTTTTTACAATTTATATGTGTAAAAAATTGTTTTTTTTTAATTGTGAATAGTAAATAATAATATTTTTATGTATTGACTCAATTTCATGTAAAATGTTACTCACCAAAACAATGACAATAGCAACGAAATTTACATTTATTCGCCGAGTCAATAATAATCTTACCTATTTATTATTCATCGAATGCATTTTTTGTTGTTTGCATTATGTAAAACAATAATTATACTTTACTTTTTTTATGCTCGATTTTGATTGCTTTTCTTTCGTAATATTATTATTTTATTATATTAATAATTCATTTTTAAATTCAAATACAATTTAGACGAATAGAGAATTTTCAACATAAAATATTTAATATATGAGTGGTATAATCAAACTCTTCTTATTGTTATTATTCTCTCTCGCTTTTATCCCAGCTATTTGGGATGCGAAACTATTCTTCGTTATATTAACTTTTGTTCTAAATAAACTCAAAGCTATTTTACTTTGTATGTGTAACGCGGTTTAATTATAACGCTAACGCACTACCGATTTTTCTTAAATTACTACTTGTATTAACCGTTAGTATGTATACAAATTGTGTTTCTCGACTTTTATTGAAGTTTAATTAGTCAACACGTCCTTTATATCGTACTTACGTTCAACAATGTCCAGATAATTTCATCAGAATACGCACAAGTGGTTGTATTTGAATTTGCTTGTAAACTTCAGCGGGCATTATCTGTAAGGCAAACAAATATCCCCAAGTCAACAAAATGAATAAACATACAAGTTTGTTAGAACAATTGTTAAATTCGTGTACAAAAAGTGGAAGATATTAATTTAATCGCCATCTAATAGGTACCTAAAGAAAATAGAAAGTTTCCCGAGAAAATATTTGTTTGCGAAACTTTCCCGTTCTGATCAAAATCTAAAATTAATAACTTAATGATATATTTTATAGTAACACACAAGTACACAACTAACTTAAATACGTCCATACCGAATATTACAGATAGGTACATTACTTTTCGCAATTTTGTTAAATGTAGTTGGAAAAAAAATGTTCAACGTTAGATATCTGATTAATTGTTGAATTTTATATATTATAGTTTTAGATTTTGATCCAAGCGAGAAATGTATTATAGTATTGCTTTTTTTTCTGTCCATAAACAACTTTTCGACCAGAAATCTAACATCGATCATCGACATTGAAGAAGATTTCTGTTAAATAATTTTGTCTAGTTGATTCTTTAGGGAGCATTTTTTTTTTTTTTTTGATTGTCCGTACACTTTTTTTGATTATGTGGGAAAACTGACAAAGGGGCGTACTTAAAGTATCAACGATTTCTTTTAAAAAGACATGTTTTTTTTTTGTAATTATGTAAAAATAATATTACTGATTTGATATTAGCTATGAGAATGACAATTGTAATTTTTTTTGATATAAATAAATAAAATATATCAAATAGTTTTTAAATAGAATCCTCTCAGAATCGTTTTTCTATTGCGATCTTCCTAACTTTACACCTAAAGAAACGGCCGCGAACAATAGCCTATCTTTTTTATTTTTACAAAATAAGTTTAGTTTTCAAACTAAGTGTCTTGAATATTTCCAAAAAGATTATAGATTTTTTGACTACTCTTTAAATAAATCGTTCTAGAAAAATATTCTTGAGTTTAATAAACCTGTATTTTAAACTGTTGTGATCCAGAGAGAAAAGTCTAGTCAGTCGGGGTAAACAAATTATTTATGCTAAATCGTTGTCAATTTTTATAATGCACCTTAGTTTATTTATAAAAAAATAATGTATACATTATGTAAGAGTTAATTAAAATAAAATATACGTATATAAATATGCAGGTTTTTAATTTATATATATTTTGTAATAATTTTTCAAAAAAAAAAGTCAATTAAATATTATGTAATAATATAAATACACTTAAGTGTCGTTAAAGACTTGTTTAACTCGGCCTAATTTGTTTTGTACAAAAGATCAGCGTTATAACACTTATGATGTAATTACTTATTATTGTCAATATTTACTAAAGTTTATTTTTACCGTTTGTATTAACATAAAGGCTTGAGTATAACAATCGTTGAAAAAAAGGAGTTTATGTAATGTACAATATTATATACTCAAAGTTCAGTAGAAAACAATAATTTATCACGCATACAACTCGAGTCATAGGAAAATGAAATAAATATTATTTGTGTAGATATTAAATTTTTGTCATTTTTTTGGCCCTTGTTTAAATTTGTCATCATCGTTATTAGAGAAATTTCAGTAATCGTGGCCCAAAGTTTACCGATTAACAATTAAAATCAAGTATAGCTGATTATAAAGTAATAACATTACATGACGTGTAGGTATTGTTTTATACGTTTGTATATAAGTAATAATGTTTACTCGTACAACTCGGCCTCACTGCGATTATTGAATTATCGATACAAATTACATTACGTCTATTGTTTTTGAATAGGGTATACGAAGGAAGTTTTGCCATTTCTTTTCTACTCGAATCGTGACAATATACTGTTTAAAAATATTAACCATAGTCACTAGTCCGACCTTCGTTTCTTCTTCTTTTCTAATGTGAATAATTTGTTTTCCGATCGATTTTCGAATAAATTTTTCTAACTTTTCCCGATACTACCCAAACAGATTTTGGAGAATAAACAAGAAACATGGTGTCAGTGTTGTTTATAATATTAGACTCGTATAGTTTTCAACAATGTTATGTGTAAATGTCCATATTAATATTCAATCCCATAAGGTTATAAAGAATTATAGACAATCGTATTGAAGATATGTAAATACTAAAATACTAATATTATTCAATCCATATACCTATTCGACCGATACTTATTCTCTAAACGTGACTGTTAATATTAATTACACCGCACACTGTAATAGACATATTGGATATAGAAATAATGCGAATAGTTACATTGAGAACAAGCAGGTTATAATGTTTTAACGAGTTGTAT